AATCATTGAGAAATCTAACCGAGTTTGATTTCTAAAAGGTTTCTCAAGCCGAACTCGAGTCTGCATCATGAAGAATCATTGAGAAATCAAACCGAGTTTGAGATTAACATAACGTTATTGAATCAAACTTGAGCTCGACTTATTTGCAGAATTGTTACTCATTTGACCAACCATATTTCTTGTGGTTTGTTGCTACAACTCTCATTCCAAACCTCCATTAAAGTAGTTGAAGGTTGTTGAACAAAATTAATATTTTGAAGAGCCAACCAGTTGTGCATCAAAGTCTCCTGTCTCAAGTGAGCGTCAAAATCGCTGGCTGCTTTCTATATTTTTCAAAATCGATTATTGGTTTATTTTGAAGTGATTTTTTTTTAATTTATAGTTTTCAAATTAAAACAAAGCAAAGGTCCGAACAGGTTTAGGTTACTTTGATTTTGATTTTATCATATTTATTCTTTTGGTGTTGCATACTACATGCCGGTTTTAGAGCAAACTACACAAATGGTCCATGTGGTTTGGGTAGGTTACGCATTTCGTCTATAATTTTATTTTTATTTTTAATTTGGACTGTCATTATAATTTTGTTTTGTTTCGTGTTTTGTCCACATCATACCTAAAATATTATACTACCCTTATCAAGTTTTTTAAAAAAATTTTAATCACTTAAATACACATTTAAAAAAAAACAAACAACAACCATAAGTCTCACCACCCCATCCCCCGCCCAACCCAACCCACTCCATCCCAATCACCCTCTTCATCGAGTCTTTCGCCTCCGAAAAACCACCACCTCCTCCTTCGTCTTCTCCGGCAAGATCGTCGTCATGTCCTTCCCCAAAAAAACATACAATTGACTCATAATCATTTAAAGCAAGATACAATTGTTGCCACAAAAATCCATTTACAATCTATTCACAAGACACTCAAATGCAATCTATTCATAAAAAAACCAGCATTGGCACCTGAAGTTTCAACAGGAATCCTTTTTCCAAAAGACCGTAGCAAAGACACCAGATTTATTAAAGGGAAATCGGATGGTTGCTTTGGTTTTCAAAATTTTGGCAGAGAACACAAGTTGTGAGTTCTTTGATTTCAGAAGGTTCTTAACGATATATATTTGGAATTGGGGTAGAGGGTGTGGGTTCAATTCCAATGGGTTCGAACATTATGGCTTCGATTCCGTTGTTTCTCTGTTTCTCTATCATTAATTATTGGAGGCAGCCAAAACTTAAGACAACCTCGTTATTCTTATGTACCAATTTGCAAATCATTTGATAGTGATTTGGTCGATTCACAAGAGATGGTGGTTTGTTAAGTTTGATTTATCTTATTTTGGGGTTTTGAAAAATCAATTCGGATTCACCTGAAAATAAACATAGAAAAAGTGGAAGTCGTCTAAGGTTTGGACTTTGCAAGGAGAAACGTGGTTGAAGGAGAGGTAGTGATCTTTTGGGAGACGACGACGAGGGCCATGTAAATTTTGGCGAACTTAAGCAACATTATAAGAGATCAAGACGTGCATAGAATATAATAGGGTGAGAGGAAAGAGACCGAGACCGGTTTTAGTTTTAACTTTTTTTATTAAACGACATAAACTGTTTGAAGTCCAGACGCAGCATGGTACTCTTTGACCACTATGTTAATGAGCTCAAGTAGAAAGTATGGAAAAATAACATATTCCCAAATACCATAAAATGCATATCTTTTATCACCATTCGTACATACGATTAAGAAACCTTAACCATGTTTAAAATAAAATAATAAACATTAAGAAAACGACTAGGCCCAAAACAAATAGTATAGTGTGGGAATGGTTGTATGAATGTGAATTGTAGCTGGACGGACCCAATACAGTAAGTCAATTTTCTTAAAGAAAACTTCAAGTTTGAAATAAATATATACAATATATGGAAATGTGCAATAAATTAAAGTTGTATTTGTCAAATCACAATAGATAATAAGTTAGTTTTTTTTTCGAGTTTTTTAAATTGATATGTTTGACAAACCATAAAATAGCTCATAAACTAGCATTTTTAAAAACATATTCAGACTAGTTTTTCATAAATTTTTTTAAATCTTTCGAATATATCCTTAATTAGTTATAGAAAACATATTTTTTTAAATGTTTTTTTATGTCACTTTATATCTGTCAGCTAGTTTATCCGTTAGTTTTTTATCAAACGTCATTTTTTGTAAGCTAGTTTATAAACTAGTAGCTAGCTTTTCAGTTATTAGCTAGTTTTTCAGCTACCAACTAGCTTTCCAGCTAGTCTACCAAACATAACCTAAGTAATATTGAAGTATATCAAAATATAAATATATAAGAACAATGTTGAATTTTTGTAAATTTCGTTAAATTTATTTTTGACATAGACTCAGTTATATGATGCTTAAAACCCTAATAAATGCTATTTAACAAAACTTTCAAAGCACATGTTTAGTATCTTCCTTCTTAATAAAAAAAACCTTCATCCATGTGTCACTCCTATCAATGTAGAATCCGGCCATTGTGATTTTACCGTGATGCCCTTCCTTTGCAATACAAAAGTTCTTGCGCTTTTAAATTCCTACGATTTTAAATGATACAAAAATAGATATACATATATTTGGTATGAATTGGTATGAATCCCTCTATATACGGACATTTTTTGAAATCGTTATTTCAATCTAAAATTAACCGACTAAGTCCAAGATTTAAGGAATTAACTCAAAATTAATTGTGAATAAATATTGGTTTATAAGCTTTATTAGTTTTGCCGAATATTTTTTCAAATTTGAAATTATCCTCATATTCAATATTCAATAATTAAATATTTACGAAAACTCATATCATTCCAAATCATTTTTAAAATACATACCATAATTTCGTGTATATATACACCAATTCTGTAATTCTGTTATTCCGGTGACTTCTTTATCACTGAGAAACAATATCACTCTGCTTTAAAGTAAATTCCTGTCGAATATCAGGTTAGTATTTTATATTTATCATATTATATTTTATCTTTTATATATCAATGTCATTTATATTATTCATTGTGTTTCTCTTTAAACTCTATTCAAATTTATATTTTGTTTTATAAATCATTTACAATATACTCAAATTTGTATTATGTTTTATAAATATATATTAATTTTAAATAATCAATACAAAAAGTTTTAAACAAACTTAACTCTTATTAATAATATAAATATTTTATAAATTTTTTACCCGTGTGAGCTACGGGTTGTAACCTAGTTGACCATAAAATTAGGATAAGTTACTATTAAAATGGTGATAAATTAGTCGGTAAATTGTTAATAACTTTGGTTTTGTTAATATATTTATTGTATTCATGATTTTATTTGAGGTAAATTGAGTTTTCATTTGGTTATATTCTGAGATAAACAGATCCCATGGCGGGGATCCTACTGCCTGTTCATGGGGCGGGTCAAGAGGCTCACCCTTACGAGGTGCAAGCAGCGCAAGGTAATTGTTTGTTCTCTGTGTATATTGTCTCTTACGAACACAATCAAAAGCAAGCTAATTATGTGTTTTATGATTTGGGATAGGCATGTAATTTCAAAGCGATTTTCTTGGATTATACCAAATCGTATTTCGTGAAAGGGTCAACTTTCTAACAAATTGATTTTCTTGAAACCCAAAATTCTAACAAATAATTTGGTAACTAAAACTAAATATTTAATGATAAGAAAAATATTATTAATTTTAATAAAATCCGGCCATTCCTCTGTTAATTTGTTGATGTTGTTCACTTGTTCTAGAAGACAATTACGAAAAAGCGAGGAAGGAAAAGGCTATTCGCACGCAGCCTCACACAAGGTCAACTTTCATAATGAACTTAAATTCAACGATAGATTAAGAATATAAACAACTTATTAAATGTTCAATAAAATATAACTTATCAATTCATATCAAAATGTCAATAAAACTGTAGTTGTCGATACGCAATCTTAATGGTTTTTTACTTTTTAGGGATACATACACTTATCAACTTTTATTTATTGTGATTGTTTTCAACTCATAGTCGTGTTTTATTCAACTGTCACTTTATAGAATTATTATTGTATTATTAATATTATTAAATATATAACGACAACTTGTACCTAGTTATTCAAAAATCAATCAATGTATGTTATATTTTAGTATTATTGGGTCGAAGTAGTAATGCTGAGAAAGTTTGAAGGTTGAATAAGAAGGTAGACGACTAGAAATATTTCTAGAATCATGTTTCATGCTATTTATCTAAGAAGTTTAAAGGAAAAAAAACATATATAAAATGGTTAATTTCACAAAAAAAAAAAAAATACTAATTATATTTTCAATTTTTTATTTAAAAAATTATTAGTTTGTTTATTTATTAGAACATTTATTTCGAAGTATTATCTTAAACAGGATCCTACTGTGTATCCTATTTAATATTTATATCATTTTACGCTTTTATCCGTTTCGACTCAACTATATCAAATCAAAATTTACTTTTACTCGATAACCTAAAACTTTTCAAAAGATTCGATGTAATACCATGAGATAAAAGTTGAATAATTAAGAATACGTGTATAAAATTCAAATTAATCCTCGACAAAAAAATGACAACCCATAAAAGTTATATCAATCATATCAAATTATTAATTTTAATACCACATGATTATTATAAAATTCTCAAAAAATACAACTAGACCTTTTTGTATAAATATCTACTTTAATAACATCGAGGCGTAAATATTTTTTCCCGGATAATTATATTATTTATATCCAAAAATATTAATTAATTGAGTTCCAAACAATGATTCCATTTTCTTTTAGAATCACATCCAAAATATAATCATGGGCCATAAGAGTCCATAAGCCCACAACTCGTTGATCTTAATGATTCATACAATAAAATGTACAATTGGCGAATACAAATTCAAGAATACCAAATAAAATGAAACGATTTGATTTTTTACTTGATGAAGAAATCAAGAACTAATAATCAAACAGATACATCCTTATGAGATTGTTCAAAGAAAAAAAAAAGTATATATTAATATGCTGTCTAGAATTACACCATTCCTTTAGCAAAATAATCTTTTGATGTTTAACCACATAAACCGTAGAACAAACAAACAAACAAACACATCATCAACAAACAAAGATTTGTTACTTGTTACTTGTTAGTGTATTTGGTGGGTCCCACCAGCAGCAGCATCCACTATCTTTTGCCATGTTATTTGACGCTGTTCTTCTGCTTGCTGAGAATTTGCCTGTTTTTCAGCAAACTGTTTTTGGCATTCTTCAAACAATTTGAAATCCATTTCTTGAAACATTTTGCGCACATTCACTGTTAATCCATGAACAGCTTGATTCCAATGAGATTGAACGTTGTTTTCCAAAGCTTCAAACACAATTGGTAAGATTGTGTTTCTGTTTTGAGCAATTAAGCTCACAATATGCTCATTGTTCCACAGAAACAAAGCTCTCTCTGCTGTCTAAAAAATATAAAAATCATAAATTAATACACATTTATGACACATCAGAAAAGATAATGGAATTAATTCTCAAACCTGAAAATGAGGGCTATTAAGACACCGAGCTATTTGTCTAAAAAGAGGAATCATACATCTCTGAAACTCTGCAGCTTGTGTAGCTTCCAAAACCTCTTCAAGTTCTCCAAGAAAAAGAGTCTCCTTTTGACAATTAGTAATAGGCCAATATTTAAGCAAACCCCTTATAACAGTATCTGCTAACTTATTATCCTTTTCTACAAACTGAGTAATACAGTAGGAAAGTTGTTGATGATACATAGCAATTGACTTAGGTTTATGGAGAGGTATAAGTGCCCTAACAAGAAACAACTTGTGCTCCTCTTTCATTGGTAATGCAAATCCATTTATTATACTCCCAAGTATTTCCAACAACTCACCAATTCCATTATGCCTTTGTGTTTCATAGATGAATCTGTAAAAGATGTTATTGATTGCTTTCCTGATAAACGGGCGATGAACCATAAACTTGCCATAGATTCGGTGTAGGATTGTTTTTAGATACTCACGTTCACGTGGATCTTCAGAATCAAACATGTCGAGTAACTTTAAAACAAAGGAATGATTGATGTAACGCTTTGCAACTTTGGCATCAGTGTCTGATGATACAACATACCTTAAAAGAAGCTCGTAAACAAGTTGGAGATGTGACCATGATGGATCGAGATAAGGTTCTTCTTCTTCTGTTTCAATGTTTTCAGTTCCTGTATGTTCATGGGAGCTCGGTGGTAAACACCTGAAGATGTTTACTGAAATCATTTGAATCATCTCCTCTTGGTTGCTCTCAGTGACTTTACCAGAACCGGATTGGACATAATCCACAAGCTCCACAAGGTTCAGCCTTTTAATCTCCTTCTCCCGAACCATTTTTAAAGTGTCTGTGAAATCAAATTGGAAACGGCAAACCTGACACTTTCTGAGAAACAACTGTTGTCGTTCCGATACTGGAACATCTCTAAACATCGGCAAGGATTCAATAGTTCCAGTTGGAGCAGGAGGAATCGATGTTCCACTTTGCGTCTGTTGTTGTTGTTGACCTATACTGTTCGCGACAGGAGGAGCACCACCACGAGATGCGTGATTTACGACAACATTGGAAGTGGAAACAGACTCGGAATTCCGGTTTCCAGGAGGAGTAAACCCATAAGTATCAGTATCAGATTTCGAGGGCTTCCGTTGCCCTCGTTTCATAAATTTGTTCAACATATTTCTATGGTGTATGTATAAACTATAATCCAACCAAATCAGTTCAGCAACAAATCACTAATCCTAATTTCTTCCAGTTCCGAACAGAAAAATTGTTATTCAGTCAAAAGAAATAAAAACCCTAAATCAGTCTTTTAGCAATTAAAAAACGAACACGAAGTAGAAGGGGTCTGTTATACCATTATCTGAACCCGGAGTTGATTGGTGGTGGTGGGGGAAATGCAGCGGTGGTGTGAAGGTGGCGATCGGCGACAGGCGGAGGTGATTTGTGGCGATCAAATTAAAGAATAGAGAGAGAGAGAGAGAGAGAGAGAGAGAGAGAGAGAGAGAGAGAGAAAGATAGATTAGAGTGAGAGTGAGAGAGACCAAAGTTGATATAATTTGAAATGTGGTGAAGGGGGCGATTGGAACTTGAAAGGGACACACATATTGAACGCTCACACTTTCCTAATAAAGTTGACTCCTTTAATCATATTAAATCATTTCATGGCCATTTATTTTTATCTATTTTCAACTTTCCAACTATGGTTATTGTAACAACTCAATAAGAATCATAATTCCTAATTCAATTTCCTTTGATATTAAAAGAAAAAGAGGAAATCATAAGAATATGAAAATAGAAAAAAGCTTTTTAACAAAATGATGTTTTGCTGAATTTTGTACATAAGGGCCATCAATTTTGTATTGTGGTCCAATGAGAAATGTCGCTATTTAAGTGGTTGTAAATATCATTTCATATATAAGAAAAACAGTTTGAAATCTCTTTCAACCATAACAACAAATAAGGATCTTGAAACTTCTAGCATACTATAGTTCATTTGAAATGTTTTTCTGATATCACATTTTTAGTTTTTGACCGTGTGAAATGGTGGGGTTTTGCTTTACATTTCCTTTCTAGCTTTGTTTTTTGTTTTTTGGTAAATCATAGGAATAATATTGAAAACATATAGTGTTTTAAATTATAAATAATGATTCTTGTTTCAGAAAAATCATATCATTGTGAAACTCTTCATATGATTATATGAACGATTTCAAGATTAGGCTTTGTGAAACTTGTTCATGTGAATAGCTCCGCAATGATTGTCACTCCAAAAGAAAATGTTCATTGAATTTTTTTTGTGGTTTAATGTTATATATTGTTATGACAATAGTAAATATCAAACATAAATACACTAAATCGAAATTTGTATCTAAATACTAGTCATAAATACGAAAAATGTATTTGATTGTAGATGTATATAACATATTACAAACACGAAATCAAACAAGTTGAGGCTTACGAATTGCAGCTTCCTAAGAAAGAAATTGCATTGGTACGAATTTATCTAGAAGATAAATGTCAAAAATATAAAACTATCAACTTCTTATTAAAAACGAGTCTACTAACAAGATAAACCTCACTACACAGATCTTACACTACACTCTTCCCTCAATATTGTTCTATCCTAACAAAGATCAAGAACACAAAACCCTAACTAAGAGTTCTAATAGAAAGAGCCTCAAATAGATAATCTAGAAAGTATATTGTGAGATTAAAAAATAAAAACCTAACTCTTCCATCTATATATAGCGTATAAGAATACAATACTCCTCACTATACACGTATGAGTACAACCGTTTCATTTAAGAGGCTACAGTTGTCATAGTACAAGTTCCAAAACCTTTAGTGCATCCATTTAAATCTCCAAACATACAAGCATCCACATTCCCATATACAATCCTTTTAAAGTTGCATCTCTACTTTGACAATAATACCCAACAGTCCCTCAACCTTTAGTGTCAAGTTCCAAAAATGATCAACTTTAGTCCCCGACAAACCTGTACTAACCATATGAAGTCAGTAGTATACATACTTGTTAGGTGATTAAGATTGTAAGGAAATAGACATTATTTCTAACAATAAAACAATCAATCAAGATTCAATCTTGATTCTAACAAATTTCCTTATGATTCCATGATTTCCAAAGAAAACAAAATTAAAGAAAATGAAATGTTTCTTCTGTGGCCACAAAATTTGTCAATTATCCATCAATTCATAGACTTCCAATAGTAGTTGTAACTTTCAAACGAAATTAACTGTTAAAAACTGCCATTACGATTATTCCAACAATTACCAAATTTTAAGTAATTAGTTTGATTAACAAAATCATTTTTGGATTTAATTATAAAATTTTATTAATTAGTCAAGAATAACCCCGAGGCTTAAGTATCTATCTTTTACCATTAAATATATTAAATCCAAGCTACATTTTAGTCTAGTACATGGTCGATCTACCATGTACATTTACCCCATAATTTATATAGTGAAAAAAAAAACATATATTTTACCTTTGCACCTCATTGAAAAAAAAAAGATCTTACCTCAAACCAATCAAAGTTTTAACTATTGTAAATTAAATATCTAAAACCATTTCATTATTATAAAGATTATTACAAAGCCTAAACACAACTACATATTATTTTCATTTAAAATATTGGACTCCAGAAGGTCCTTAGTCCAACTTCTTCAGAATAATTCTAGGACCCCTAATGGTCCATAAAAATCCAAACTTTATGGACTTGTATGACCCATGCATGTTCTTCTTCAAACTAGGTCAAAAGTGGAAAATATGACCCAAAATCCATGCATGGCTCCCATTTTACCACAAAATCCAGATCTATAAGATATGATATTCAAGGGACATAGAGAAACCATAAAGTTGCAACCTTTAACTCTTCTAACCACATAAACCCCTTCAAAAGGACCAAAACATAAAACCTAGATCTATGATGAAGAACACAAAAAGGTTGAAGTTTGAGGACTTACAAAGAGTCCAGAAGATGCACATAAATGGAGGAAAGGATTGCTTGTTGAATCAAGATGCTAGCTCTTCTTCTTTTCCCTTCAAAACCACCACAAGATTGCTAAAATGAGCACAAGAGCACCAAGGAGGATTAGGGTTAGGGTTTCTGGGGTTTGAGAGTGATGGAGGCTGAGGATGAGCAACCCTAGCCTCCCACTTTCCTTTAAATACCCGAAAAGTTAGGGGTTTCCATCTACTAGCTGACACACCGTGGCCATATGTTGCCACGTCGTGGTGGCTTTAATGAAGCACGCGAAAGAATCTAGCATTGCCACATCGTGGTGCCTCCACCACGTCGTGGCAACCCAAAGATGACACAACTGAAAAGTATAAAAAGGGGGGTACCTCAAGATCCGGGTGTTAATATATATATATATATATATATATATATATATATATATATATATATATATATATATATATATATATATATATATATATATATATATATATATATATATACTTATTTTAAATGTTTAGAAACTGAAGAGTCTCTTTCTTTTAATAACTATGTAAAATTCCAAGAAACCTCAGCACCAGCAAATTAATTAAACCATTCACGCCTCTTTGCTCTTCAGTTCACATTGTAGCGTCTCTCCAATCTCCATCCTCGGTTATTTATATTTGAGTAAAATTTGTGTAGATTATGGTTGCTCTCTAGTCTCATCTCTATCATCTCTTCAGACTTCAATCTTCTGTATCATCAATTAAAATCGACCTCGAGTAAGAACACATAGACTTGGCTCTTCAGAACACAACTACTTGCCATTTATTCTATTCTTCATCATAGCTATGTTGACGATTTCTTCGATTCTTCATCAATCACTAGGGTCAAATAATATTTTGTATGATTTTCGCACACTACACACATAAATTTCTGTATATTTTTTGAAAGTCCCTACTATGTGTTCTTTGTGTCTTGAAATAAAAATTCTTATTGCAGTATGTATTATGTATGTATCATGTATGATTGTAAGATTTTGTATATGATTTTTTCACACTGCATACACATAATATTATGTATGATTTCGAAAATCCATGATATGTGTTCTTTTTTATTTTGGCTAATCGATCATATAGTTATAGTTTCTGATTTGCTGCTTGACTTTGACTGCCATCACACAAGTATCAAACACTATTTCACCTCATGTTATTATCTTTAATCATTAGTACAAGGAATCAACCATGATTCCATCTGTTCTGTCGATATCGGATGGAAATCGTGAAGGTGCAAAAACAAATCATTAGATGGAAATCGATATCAACCATTATTCCATCTGTTATCTCGATTCCATTTGTTTACTATTTACATATGTTATCACGATTCTTAACTTAATGTATAATTTTTTTACTCTTAATAACTATTTTTCTTTTTCATAGGAGTTCATGGCTTACGAAAGTACTCAGTTTGCTTTGTCTTAAAAGTCACAGTTGAAGATGTATTTAGATGAACCAAGAAGTGACATAGATGAGGATTTAGGTGTTCTTTCTTTTTGGAAAGCACATCAATATCGTTATCCGGAGCTTACTTCTATGGCTCGAGATATTTTAAGCATAGCGGTCTCCACTGTAGCATTCGAATCTACTTTTAGTAATGGTGGTCGTGTTCTTAATCAATATCGAAATTCTTTGAAGCACGACATTGTTGAGGATATAATTTCTACTAAAGAATTGTTGTTTGGAATTAAAGGTATTTGTTTTTTTATTTGCTGAAAATTTGAATTTGATGCATTAAATTTTTTATTAAGTTTACTTTATGTTTTTTTGTTTTGTAGGTGATGAATAGTTATCTTTAGAAGAACTTACCGATGATATCATGGAAATGGGTAGCAACGATATACATGAGTATATGAATGCATTTCCATTTTATCTTATAAATTTGAGGACATTTAGTACCATTTTATGATTTTTTTTCGTCGTGTTTGTATGTCGTTTGTAAGCATGAATTAATTTGATGACATTGGTATTTTTTGTTATTTTGTCGTGTTTGTCGTTTTTTAAGCATTAATTAATTAAACAAAAGAAATTTATGTTCCTTTTGTCGTGTTGTCGTGTAAGTCGTGTTTGTCGGTTTTTTAATTTGATAGTGTTCGTGTTAGGAAAAAAACAGAACGTCGTTTCGTGTCATGTTCGGGTTATGCAAAAACAATTTGTGTCGTGTCGTGTTATGCATATACACGAAACGACTGCCTGAATTGATATGCATACATTCAAGAATACAGTTTTCACATCCATTTGGTGTATTTCCCAATTATAAATGGCTATTATCGTTATCGATGTTTGTATTAATGTTTATCTTATAATAAGTGAGTAGATATCAAAGAAGTTTGACCCTCCTTTTAACGATATCCTATAGCTACAAAACTTTTAGTTTATTTCTATCATCATATTTATCATATATTTTATTTATAATTTTTAGTTACTTATTTTATATTGTTTTATTATTATTATTTAAAATTTAATTTCACTAAAAATGGCAAAACTCTTTGGCCATTTTGTGAATGTTACATAATGACTGGTATATGATAGTTTGATATATGGTAGATGCTATAATTTTTTGAGCCATGTTTCGTTAAATGAAATGTGTAATTAAGGTAATGTTTGAAGTGTTACAAGACGTTGTGGTAACGAAGTCGCCATATTAGTTTTGATGGGCTTTGGATTTGACGAGGGATTTCTCGATAAAGACTATGAGGGAACATATAGAATATGTCTCTTTGGTGAGTGGTGAACACCCTACGAGGTGGTTTAAGGTAATTGCTAAGCGGGTAAACATATTTATGTGGAGACTACTGTTGGATCTTTCTAAAAAAGTTTAGAGTTGCAATCTATTTTTTGTCTGACTTATGGTGTATGGGGTGAATCAACTGATCATTATTTTTTTCAAGTGTAAAGTGGCGATGGCAATATAGTCGTTTTGTCCGACGGTATGGGGTGACACTCACGCTTTCACCTTCAATCAAAGAGTGGTTATCTTGGATGAGTGATCAAAATTTGATTCCTGCTAAGAGAATACTGTTAGAAGCGATTGTTGTCACTTTGTGGTTGATGCTTTGGAGATTTCGAAATTCAGTAGTCTTTGATGGGGTTCAAATTAGAAAAATTCATTATTTGATAGTATTGTTCTAAAGTTTTTTTATCGGTTAAAATATCGAACTTCCAAACCCGATGTGCTTTGGAATGCTTGGCTAATGAACCCTTTGTAGTTTGTTTTTTTTTTTTTTTGTTTTTTTTTTTCTAGCAATTTGCTAGAATTATGAATATATTGGTAGTTGTTCAAAAAAAAATGAAATACCAAAAATTGTCCGAAACATATGAAATAAACATCACACATGGATCCGTAGACAAGTTGGAATGAAATTCTTTTACTCTCCATATTTAGCTCACTATTATGCACCACATACAAGTAAAGTGTTCATTTCAGATTATAAGAGACACTTTGGATCTTTCCATCAATAGACAAAATTATATAAGCGTTGAATAACACATGAGTCGAATATGGAACCTCTTAAATAAAATCTAACTGAGTATTGTACATTAAAAAGAAGATCATATTATAGGTAGTTAGATAATTATTTTCTCTAATTAGGCCTTAATCTTACTTATTTCAGTATGGTGTTTCTTTTGGTTTGTGGGGAGAGAGACATGGGTGGGTGTAATAGAAGCCGACCTGCCTAAATGTTGGTATTTATATGAACCGTTTTGATCCAACATGGTTCCGAGTTCAAAAAAAGATTCTTCCACGGCCAAGCAAATATACTCAATATCTTTTTATTTTTATTTTTTTATCAAATAGATTTAATATAAAAATAATTAATTAATTATAGTGTTAATTGAAATAAAAGATATCTATATCATTTTACTAATTAATTCGATATCATTCCTTTTCTAACCATTTAATATTACGATCTCATGGTGTTATCATTATATATAAAAACTTACTATTTAATTTAATTAGTTACCTATTACTTAAAATGTATTTGTTAGGTTAAATATCTTTTTAAAATGTATTCCCTCCGTCCCAAAATTATTGTCCACGTTTGACTTTTTAAGTTTCTTTTGTTCAACTTTGACCTTAAATAATTTACTTTTTGTTATATAATTTTTTATGCAAGATATACAAATAGATTGTGTTTTAAATGTATTTTCATTGTTATAAGGTTCATAAAAAATTATATAACACAAATAAAGTTATTTATGGTCAAAGTCGACATGGAAAGAATTCAAAAATCAAACGTGGACAATAAATTTAGGACGGAGGGAGTATTTGTTATGCTAAATATATTTTTATGAACGACAACAATATATTAAGTAAAAACTAACAAGATGCTAGACGGATCATTACAAAATACAAATAGAATTAGGAGAGGAACACCACTTAAACCAATTCAACTCACACAAATTCCTTCTACGTTTAATCTAGTTTAAAAAAGAAGTTGAAACATCGTCTATCGCCTTCATGAGAGAGAACCTAAATTTCTTAAACACCAAAAAAAATTTGGGCTTCAAAATCACCCCAAAGTAGTGAGTAAACCATTGTGTTCTTATGCTTAACATCTATTTTGCTATGATTGGAGTCCTTAAGCATATGAGAGATCTCCATCCTAGTAATTGGGGCTTTCGGTAAAATATTGTTCCATGAGCAAAATCAGTTCCAAAAAGTGTTGGCGAAATCACAATCAAAATATATGTGTTCAACTTCATCAATCCCTGCGTCGCAAAAGGGGCATAAGGTGGAAGAAATATTAATACATTTATGGGCTAAGTTAGAGGCTAACGAGATGTAGTTTAGGAGAAAGTACCACATAAAACAATTTACCTTCAAGAGAATCCAATTAATCAACCTGAAATGGATAAGGTGGTCATCAAAAACAACGTCATCAACAATTTTCTAAGAGAATGCACCCAAAACTTCTTAAAATATCATTGTTCCATCTACAGGAGTCTAAGATTGTAAGAGAACTTAAAGAGGGTACTATAGGCCATAAGAGCAGCCAATTCCCGTGATTCTCTACCACTTCTTGGCCGCCTTTTCTTGCTCCAGAAACAACATCATCTCAACAACCTTGTTTCTCGAATTGACCCTGTAAAAATGAAGCAGTTTTTGCTTGATTCAATAGCATAAAATGATGCATATTTGTTGTAACATCTGATTCTCTGGATTGCTTTTAAAGTATTAAATTAGAATTATTAAGTTTTTGTGGGTTTTCTCTGGGTAGTGATGTGGTCGATTTAGAGGTCATGGTGCGACGAGTTAGTGGTGTGACCTTTAATGAAGCTCTCAGCGCGAAGTGCCTAACATGTCAAACCCTAGAAGCCTCAGGATTCATGCATATTTAAAAGCATTAACTCTAGGGTTTCTCCATATTCAGCTTCTACCTCCCCAAGAACATCTCCAATGAAACCCTAGCCTCCCTTGAAGTGGGTGGAGCTCATTCTCTCTCCTAAATCCATTTTTGGTGTTGTTTTATGTTTATGAGTAATGTAAACAAGAAAGATTAATCTTTAGAGCATAACACTTGAAGCATTCAACCTTTTCTACTCCTTCTGGACCTTTATAAGCTCAAAGATTCAAACTTTTTCTCTTTTCATCCTTAAATCTATGATTTGTTGAGTTTTTGTCCCTTTTGGTTGCTTGTTCCGTAGAGTTTGGAGAACTCTTGAGCTTTGATTCATGTTTGGTTCCAGATCTAATCTCTTGATGTAATAAAGAGTGCATGTAATAGCCCTTTTTGCTCCAGGCATTAAGATAAACGCATCTTAAGCACTTTTGGACTTAGGGTTTGAGATCTTACTTGATTAAGTCATTGGGATGGATAAAGTTGGAAACTTGATCCATTAAGATGTTTGGGAATTTCAGATTTGAGGCTTAGAGCTCCTGTCTTTAAGGGTTAAGTGCTTAATAGGAAATCCAGGTTTCACGACGCAACTTCTAGGGTTTTCCCGATTATTTTGTCGTTTTGTGGTTCTCGGCACGACCAGGAGCTGGTCACGACGCATTAACCATTGACTTTTTGACAAGTTTGACTTTTGGTCAAACTTGTTGGCTTTGAGCTATAGACCGAGTTAGAACCTTTATGTGTTTCTAGGTGGTTCATGGTAGTTGTTTAACTTTCTCAGATTTTTGAGTATGTAGATGTTACGACGGGTGAGTCTTATCACTATATTACTCATGTTATGATTAGATCCTCTTTGTGTTGGATGCATGTGTAATACTATGACATGATTGCACGTATCACATCCTTTCCTTTTTGTAAAAACTTTTCAAAAAAATGTTTTTGTTAAAAGAACTCCTTTAGTCCTTACTTTGAGTTCAGACACACTATAGAGTGTGCCTAAATCCCTCAAATTAAGGTTCTAATACCAACTTGTAACGTGCCAAATCTCAAACCAATTTTTTCATTTTAAAATCAAAGGAAGCCTTTTCATTCATTCATAAAAGCAAACATCCGATTGTTTCAAAAACATAAATCAGAGTACTAATAAAAATCATGTAACACCCATATTCCGGATTGGTTAAGCTTACTTTTATCAAGGGCCAAAGATGAAGTTTTTAAGGGGACATTGTGCTACGAAGTAGTGCAAGGATGCTCACGACGTGGCAATGAATTGGTGGACCGCATGTCTATTTGGGCCGCCACAGCGTCCCCAAGTATTGCCACTGCGTGGCAGTTGTTCTTGCCTAAGCCCATGATTCTTTTAGGGGTTGCTTCATATTTAAGCCCCTCTAAGCCATTTCTAGGGTTCATTTCCAACCTCTAGCGCCCTTTCACCTCAGAAAACCCT